GAGCTGTATCCTCTCCGTGGTCCCAACTGTGTGATTCTGCTGCAGCTTCTCTCTGTCACTGACTGATCCAACACAGGTAGGACACACACTGAGCCTCCATTCATTCTCCACAGCACCACAGTCCGAGAGGACGAACACACGTTTTTTTTTAGCCATTTGACACCCAGTAAGCTTCTCTTTACCTTGGGAAACAGTGGCGGAAATGACTCAAGTAAAAGCAGTAATATCACAATGCAAAGATACTCCATTACAAGTAAAAGTTATGCATTCAAAATGTTGATTAAGTAAATGTATGTTATTATGAATATAGAATTATTGCCTGAAAGATATACAGTATCAAAGTTACTAAGAGTGGAATTTTTCAGGGCGTTGGGGATGGGATTATTAAGACTGATTCATGAACATGTAAGCAGCATTTTAATGTTTGATGCAGCCGTTCGGCAGCAGGAAATGCCAATTTGAACTTCTAACTACTTTTGAATGGTTTAATTTATAAAAATGCATCACATTTTAGGAATATATGTTTTTATGTGTTGAATCTTATACTGCAAAGTAACCAGCGCTGTCAGTGTTGTATGTAAAATGTATAGTATGTAGTGGAACAGAAGTATACTTCAAATGTAAATACTCAAGGTGCAAGTATCTCAAAATTGTACCAAAAATTGTAAAAAAAGAGAAGGTATTTTCTTCCACTTTAGACCATGTTTTCATACTAAGAATAATGTGCACTGATGTGTTGAATAACTTTATCTATATTGGTTTTTTTTTGCATATATTTGCACATTTTCATCAGTAGTTGCTTAAACTAATTGGTGCAATCTATATATAATATACAGGTATACACATGCACTGTCCATCCTCACTGATCTTTCTGCTGAAAATGTGGCTTTAATTAAGATTTCAGGCAAACCAAAATCTGCATGCCCTCCGCCCTCTTCTCTGTCTGAACTGCTACCTAAACTGTCATGATTTACCCTCCGCCTGCATGAGAAACAGTCAAGTTTCTGACCTCCTGTTGGGATGCATGCCCTGCTGAGTGTCTGTCTGTGTTTCTGTGCATATGCATGAAGGTGAAATGGTACAGACAGATATGTGCTCTTTATGCAGGAGTGTGTAAAAAGGCTAAGACAGAGTGATGCATCTCTTTTCTTAGCACAAACTCCTGGACAAAAGATTTTTGGGGAAAAAAAGGCTAATTACTGACCCGCCATCCCCTTGTTTAAAATGAACATACCTCCAGCTGTGTGCACAAATCTTTGCTTGCCCTTGCATACCTGCATGCCTGTGTATATGAGCTGAGCTGGATGTGTGTATTATCTCTGCATGAGTCTGCTGTAATTACACTGTGAAGGTGCCCACGGGGCGGCAGCCGCTACATTTGGCTTCGCACCACATCCCCTCATTTTATTGTGTCTTGTGCCTGACAGAAAAACTGCTGTGTGTCTGTCTTTGTTGACTGACGAGAGCCGAGTGTGGTGCGAGCACATACGTATGTGAGAGTGCAAACGATATGTCGACTGAAAATAAGTGTGTATGCATCAATAAATACCATACAGCCTTTTATTGCTGCATGTGTTTTCAGGAGCAGCAGCAGACGCCAGCTAACAGCAGGTCTGTGTGTGTGTGCTGACTGATAAAGTTCTGTGTGTCAGTGTGGGAATTCAAGAAATGTCTCCTTAGTGTGTTATAGTGTCAGTGTGACAAGTTCAGGGGGAAGGGTCTACTGAACCAAAGTCTCAGTGTAGAATAGGGTCATCTGATTAGCAACAGAGATGACATGCAAGCCACTAACAGGCACACAGAAACATGTAATTTTTAAAATACAAAGATCACAATCAATGTGTGCACCAAAACACTTGCTGTGTTTCCAGTTAAAATGTTGATCTTCTTTGTCTGGAATGTGTGTGTGTGTGTGTGTGTGTGTGTAAAAAGACAGGAAAATCAGGTAACTGTTTGCAACAGCCTGTGACAGGACTGACCTCCTTTTCTATACTAAATATAGTGGACAGAGCAGCCGGGACAGTTGCAGTTAAGATCACATACTGATGTGAAAAACCTCCAGCTCCAGGTGGTGAACTTCCATTAACCCGCGCACACAGAGCTTGACCACAAGCATTAAAAAAAAAAAAGCTTTATTATCAGTCTGGAAGTAGTATAATGTCGTTTTCCAAAAGAAAGTTACTTTTTGGAACTAGCTGCGTGCTTAAGCATCTCAACCTGGAGCTTTATCTGCCTCCTGCAGAGCAGCAAAGTTGCAGCCAGTGAGGTGATCAGATGACTGAGCAGTGAGATCAAAGCTGGGCTCTGTGTGTCTCCATACTCAAGGTATTTTTATGGCTGGCTGTTAAACTGTGCAGTGGTTAATATACATTTAATGGAGACAGTGAATTGATAAAACACTCAGCAACATATAAGGCTGCGGTCAGAAAAGTGTTAGAGTTGGAGTTTTGCAGCTATATTGGCAGAGTAATACTATCTGACCTCTGGAAATAGACTTCAGGGACAATGTGCAGCAGGACATGAGTGTTATGTGCGTCGGTGTGTGTGTGTGTGTGTGTGTGTGTGTGTGTGTGTGCATTTGCGTGCATATGTGTGTGTTTGTACACTAGTCGACTTGCCCAAATTTAACTGTCTGCATTCTCCAGCTGCTTGGAGGTTTAGTTATAGTATAGTAACCCATAGAAACACCACACAAGGCTGCAGCCACAAAACATCATTCTCCCTTTGTGTAACACACAAAGAGAGAAATTCATCTGTCATCAAGTCATAAACTGTCATCCTCAAAGTTAAAACATCTGCCAGTTAAACAGGAAATACCATCACTTTTATGCAGTGTATTTTCAGCCTAGTAGTGTTTAATTAGAAGACTTTTGAAAGACATTCAGTGAAAGTGTCTGCAAATTGGAAAAAGACATATCATAGCTCTATTCACAATTTGTTTTTAGACACAATAAAACTCTTTTTGGTGATTCTCTGGAATATTTTAATCTTCCATTTTGAATGCAGCCTTAAAAAACTCAAATCTGGAGTAATTTAAGAGATTGGGTGTAGAAAGCGGAGAGGAGGATGAGGTGGAAGGATGTGAGGTAAAGAGCGGGCTGGTGCAGAGAGAAGAAGCAGTGTGCCTCTGATTTACATTCAGCTCCAGGAGCGTTGTTAGAAATCCGCCCACTGTCAGCAAGCGAAGACTCGACTCTTCAGCCCAACGCAATGAAATGTAAGGCTGAAATGTGGTTTTGAGCAATTATCATGCACGTGCCCTCCTCACCTCTCTTCATGGTCTGACTCAGCAGCTGGTGGTCAGCGGATGGTCAGTCAGTGAGGTCAGTAGAGCAGCACAGCAGACAGGATTTGCATCTGTCCTCAGAGATGTCATCCATGTTGTTTTATTTTAGGCCAGCTCCTGTGGCAGACATTACCGTGACAGCGATGAATGTTAACTGTTTTGCCGTGTAGCCGCAGGTTGGCAGCGAACCAACACACACTTGGCCCTGCCCAGGGGAATGGGAGGACCTTTTTAATCGAAGGCTCCAGGGTCAATGGGTTCAATAAGCTTTGTTCCTAGATAAAATGTATGTGTTGTGATATGAGGGCAGGGATGTGGAATTCCCCCCCTTATACTGATTTTCCAGGATTGTCTGGGTTTGGTTTCCTAAATGTCCATCCGTTCGTTTGCTTGGTGATTGACAAACATTGCGTGCCGCTGCCAAAGTACTTCTTCTTTAGAAACTTCTTCTTTTAAATGTACCGCACGTTTAATGATATTCAAGAAAACTCAAGAATAAGAGCAACATTATCTGTATTTGTGGCAAGGAACCCAAACAACTTGATACATCTCTACCACGGGAGGGGAATACTTACACAACCACTTTTCATTTCTTCATTTCTTTCAGATGATGTCATCAGAGCACCTGACCTGCGGTTGGCTGCAGCAGCTCCTCGTTATGCTTCTGAAGCTTTGCCTCGCTTTTGCGGGGCCTTTGCGACCACTCAACGGGACAGAATGCACAGCCAAGGGTCCTGCTTCCTACATCCTGGTCTTTACAGGTCACTGGAGCCCCCAGGCCTTCCCCAAGCAGTATCCACTGTTCCGGCCCCCTGCACAGTGGTCCAAACTCATAGGTGAGAAAGCCTTCTAGGGACTGAGAAATTGGTTGTGGGAAAACCAGCCATTTCTTCTGGAAAATTTGACCTCTAACGCCTGAAAATCCATTGAATTTTGACTCTTATTTCAGACTTGCAACAGCAGCGAGGAGTCAGGGGTTATTAGTTCACCTCCCTTACTCAAAATGGTGACCGCTTTCAGATGAAGGGTCACCTAAAAACATAATTTATGCTTTTCATCTTGTGTCAGATGTTTAGGGCCTCATTGTCAGCATACGCCCATGCACACAGACACATGCACAGGGATGAGAGATGTTAATGAGCAAAACAGCAAGAAGCTGAGAGCAATAAGAAGACCGTCTAAATGCTACCAGATGGGGTTTTTCTCTCTCTAACTTCTGTCCAGCGATATCTTTAATATTTCTCTATTTCTTCAACTCAATCCTGCACTCCATCCCACATTTCCGCTGGTTTACCACAGTGTTGGCGGTAAACACTGGAGGAGAGGTTTTCGGGGGTTGGTGAAGGTGGGTGATGATAGTTGGGGTGTGGTGGGGTCAGACCGCTTACTTCAGAGCCAGGAGGAGGAGAAGAAGCAATTCCCTTCTTTTTTTTCCCAAGCCATGGAGCATGGGATGGATGGCAGATGCTCGTACATATGTGTGCATGTATGTGTGTGTGTGTGTGTGTGTGTGTGTGTGTGTGTGTGTTGTGTGTGTGTGTGTGTGTTGGACTGCTCTTGTGCATCACTGTCTGTGGCTTTGTCTGGTTTCCAGCTCTCTCACTGGTGCCCTGCTGCCCTGCCAGAGGGTGATGGCCTACTTACTTCATATAGAGACAGGCACCGGAGATTCAGACACACCCATAATGGCTTTTAATGTCTCTGGGCACCGGTGATTGGGTAGGCGGAGGGGGGGGTCAAGGAATGGGCTTTGTTACAGGAGAAGAAAAACACAAGGGCCTCAATGAGCTGACAGTCTGGTAGGGGACAAAAAGAACATTGGAAATGGAGTTTGTCACAGCACAAAGAAAAGCATAACCTGTCAAGGGGTTTGGGGGCCTGCGTTGGTTTTGAGTTGCTTTGTTGTGGAGACCTGGGGGTAAGGGACCAAGGACACTGCCAGAGGAAAGAGGGAATGGAGTTTGTCTTGGCGAAAGAAAAAAAACGAGTAATTAAGGAAGGGCGGGAAGTGGGCTTTAACGTCTTGGTGGGGCTTAAACGTGATGCGTTATAGAGTTTCAAGGTCTTGACGCTTATGGGAAATTTGCTAGGATGGAAATGCAATTAAGTGCATAAGTAATGGCAGTTTGGGGAGAAACAAGATAGTGTGTGAAGTGTGCTGGGTAGGTTGTGTGTGTGGCTCAGTGCGGTGTGTGTGTTAATACATGTGTCAAGAGTGTTTAAGTATAAATGCACAGTTGTGTATGTGTGCCTGTACGCAGCTCTGAAAAGTGAGGTAAGGCAGAACCATCAGAGCATTTGTCAGCGTGTTTCTGGCTAACCTTACTCTGCCCTTAAAACCACTGGCCCAGGCCAGTGGCTCTGTGGGTTTCAATACGGAGCTCCAGAACCTGCGGTACAAACAGTTTGACCTAAATCAGTCTCTTCATTCTCAACAGATTTCATAGATAACCAGAACTAAATATGAGAATGTGAAGAAAATGGTTCTGTTGACCCGAAGCGTATAAAAAAATACCAAGAAGGGATTGCAAAATTGTTTTAAAAATAAAAGATTGTCCACCATCTAGCTGCTGACTCCGAGATCCTGACCTATCTCCTGGCAGCTCCAGCTTGTGCTGTGGTTTTATCTGTGATAGATGGAGAAACTATGTAACTATAACCGTACAATAATGCCAGAGACATGCATGTGGGCAATTCCTTCAGAATTATCAGTTTAATTGCAGGACGTAGGAGGCAGCCATAGAAATACATACAGGCTCCATGGTGGAAATGATCTCACCGTCTGGCTGAGGCTCTGTGGTGTTTCATCGACATTGATATGCATTCCAGCGAATAAGCATCTTACTCCTGTCTTCTCCTCCTTCTTGTGTTTCTTTTCTCCCTTTAGCGGTCAGCCATAATCGCCATTTTCGGCTGTGGGAGGAGGGTGCTTCAGCCAGTGCAGGGGTGCAGAGCTTCGCTGAAGTCGGGGTGACGGTGGAGCTGATGAAGGCAGCCAAGGAGGCCAGGAAGAGACGTACTGTCGGCGCCATGTACCGAACGGCCGGCATCCCTAACGGCATCGGGCACAGCTCCACAGAGTTGCTCATGCAGCCCCGGAGTTCACTGGTAGGCACGAATAAAACTTAAGTGGAAGCAATACTCATTCACAAAAGGACACACATGCTCAGACGCAGTAAGTCACACAAACCGTCTGTTTGACTAAATCTATTCAGTCATCTGGTGACCCGGCCCTTCATATAACATTGTGCATCCGCTCTGACCAAACACTTCACCACTTCTTTCCACTATCCAATCAGACTATGTTTAGCCCGAGTGCTGAAGCCCTGCAGCCACAAACGCCCACATCCATCCTGCGCAGTCTGCACTCTGTCTGCTGCCTGTCCCACTGAACTCTGTGAGCTCAGGGATGAGGGGCCTGGGATGAAGTTCAGTAAAAGGAACAGTTTTTAGACAATTTGAGAAACACGTTCATTCACTTTCTTGCGAAGAGTTAAAGGAGAAGACTGACACCCCTCTCGTGTTTGTACAGTAAATATTAAGTTACAGCACAGCAGCCGGTTAGCTTAGCTTAGCATAAAGACTGGAAACAGCGAGCCTGGTAACACAATCTGCCTCACTAATTAACATATTATATCTTGTTTCTTTTACTGAACAAAGAATAACGTAAACTGTAAACCTTCTTCCTCACCATACCGGCCTTGAAGTGATCCGTTCCTTGTGTGCAAAACTGCATTCTGATGTTCAGCCGAAGCTAATATGAGGCTTCAACAGTTTGAGTCAAGTGGATATTTTCCAGGGTTATTTTAGTGCAAAACTCCCTCTTTGTGTTACAATCCATTTGGATCTGTTCCTATTTGGCACTAAAACGACTAAAACTGTGTGTAAGATACCTATTTGATTTGGCAAACTCAGACTCCTGAAGCCCCACATTACCCCATATTTAAGGCTGATAAATGGGCTGATAAATGTGGACTGATGTTGGGTTACAGGTTCAGTGTCCATTGTTGGACTACAGGGTACCACTGCTGCTGAATAGTGAGTGAGGTTATAAAGCAAAGGGTCATGGTCTGGCTAAATGTGGGCTTGGGGCTTAAACAAAGGCAAGGATTTGAGGTAGGAATGAAAGTATGGCACGGTGGAAAAATGTGTCACACCATTCACACAGTTAAACCTAGAAATAAAGTATTCCTTTATGTGTAAAGCATATGTACTGTAGCTGATGAATGAGAGGGAAAGAGGTGAAGAGGAAGGGCGGACGTTTATTGGAGCTTTTAGAAATAGGTGTGTGCCTGCCTTAAAGTCTGGTGACCTACATTTGTTTATTGGTTATTCCACTGCCTGAACCCAAGGGCCCTTACAAATCATAAACAACCCTGACGGAGGGCATCTTTGGTAAGTACCTGTCATGGACAGCAGCTTAACAGCTTGTCATCTAGGTATATGATGTCTGGGGCTGCTTTTAAATGGGTCCGTCTGTTTTTAGATCAGTGGACAGTGATGTGTGCTGAACGTGACAAAGACAGACTGAATGACGTGATTCTGTCGACAGCTTAATCTGTTACACTGCTTTTGTCTCTCTCGCACACTAATATAGAAATCCCATCCCTTCTTCCCCACAAACCAAAACAATCATAAGCAATGCACCAAAAATCTCAAACACATATGATTCCTATCTCCATATTCATGAGCCTCCTGCTATTGCTGTTAAATGTGTAATTCAAAACAGAGAGATAGATCCAAATATCTACCATTCGGGATCCAACTGGCATTATTCTTAAATATTCTGAATTTTGTGAGATCAGTAGCACCACAACTACTAAGCATTAAGGTGCTTGTGCGTCTGGACTGAGTTGCATGTTTTCTAGGACGGCTCGTTCTCTCCGAGCCGTCCTAGAAGATTTGCTGTGATGGAGAAAAAGTGAGAGGGATCATGGGAGCTTTGCGTAACTGTCTGTGCTTTAGAGATAGTTCTTGGCTTGTGCATTGCAAACCACCACGGACTGATCAAGCCGGTGACGAGGGATACCCCTAAGCAGACATCCTTGTGGAGTGGCCCAATGGATATAGCAGGACGGGGCTTTCTTGGAAAAACCGCTGTTTGAGAGGAGGCTGAAAAGGACAAGAGGAGGGAGGAGAGCAGAGCAGGGAAGAAAGGAAGGAAGGAAGGGGATCAGTGGAGGATTCTGAAAAGCAACAGAGCTGCTTCTGATTTGGTTTCTCTGTTTCTCGCCGTGCGTCACAGGCAAGAAAACAGACCCCGTGTGTCATGCTGACACTACCTGCCTCCTGTCCCGAGTGGTCTGTTCCGCCTGGTGCACTGGTTTGATGTCTGTTCCAGTTCTCTTCCATCCAGCAGTGCTCTATCTGACTCCAGGCCACCCGTTTCTAGCCATCCAAAAGCTGTCCAAGCCCACCCACCCTACCCTGAGCCTTAGCAGCTCAGCCCAAGGTCCTCAAATATCGGGCCACAAATGAGGAGGCATTTTCAAATGTGCTGTTTTCTGGGTGTCTGCCACCTCAGCGTGTGCTGACCCCCAGGCCACTTCCTGTATGAGGTCACCAGCTCTCAGGAAACATCCATCACACAGGAGACAAAGTCTATCCCAGCACAGGAAACTGAGTGGGTGCATGCATGCGCACACATGCAGTCCCCAGATCCCTCCATTTATAAATGAAAGAGTTTATAAATCCTGACATCAACAGTGTGTGTGTGTGTGTGTGTGTGTGTGTGTGTGTGTTCATGCGTATATATCATTATTATTTATTTAACTTAATTTATTCTACACACAGTGCAGAATATCAGACATGGGGCAGAATAACACAACATTATCGGGTAATCAAGTCTGATTGATTGTTTTTTTTATTATTATTAATTTGATCTTCTTTTTTCTTCCCCCGCAAAAAAAAAAAACTGTTTGTACTCCAGAGGGCTGCAGTTTGACTTTTGACTTGAGCCAGAAAATGATCACAGCTGTGCTTTCTGGGTCTATTTGATTGTAAATTTTCTCCTCTTGTGAATTAAGTATTTCATTGCGTTTTTTTCTTTGTAGTTTCGTTTACAGCTGACAAAGCAAAGAAAAACAACTCACCAGTGCAATATCAAGACTCACAATTATCGTGGGAAAAGAACAAAATATATGCCTTAGACTTTATTGCTTTTAGGTATATGAAGAAAGAAGAAGACTATAGTGCTATTGCTCTGTGACTTTAGCACAGTGGTAGTTTGAGCTAAATGCTAACATCAATATGCTAAAATGCTCACAAATAACAATCCTAACATGCTGATATTCAACAGGTATAATGTTTACCATCTCAGTTTAGCATTTTAACATTCTACCATTTGAGAATTAGCACAAAACACAGTGAATTTGAGGCTGAATTCAACCTGAGAAGGACATGGATCTGACATGGATCTGTACATAATTGGTGTATTTCTTTTGTGTAATTGTGCTTTTTTTTATTGGTCTGTCCATATTCTAAATTTCCATTTTGGAGAATAAAGTCTGAACTAACAGCATTATCTCTCTCTCTGATTGACAGTTGTCCCTGATGGTGAAGATGATCCCCAGCCCCGACTGGTTCGTCGGTGTGGACACCCTAAACCTTTGTGAGGGCAGCCAGTGGAAACAGGAAGTGAACATTGACCTCCAGCCTTATGATGCAGGGACAGACAGTGGATTCACTTTCTCATCACCAAACTTCCCAACCAGCCCACCAGAAAACATCACAAAGGTGAGCTCTTGCAATGTTCACAAGTACAAAAACTCTAATTCGTTTATACGTTGATTCATTTAGTCATCTGTGCATTCATTCCAAAGACAAAGCAAGGCGGATGGCCCTCGTATTATACTTAAAATAGTTAAGCAGCGTGGTTATGGAGCATCATTCTTAGCTGCTTGGCGGCTCTCTAACATGACTTAGACAGATGGTGTGTTACATAGAACCAACTGGAGAGCTTGGAAAAGGGCAGGCACTTTTAAATAATACTTGGCATCTGATTAAATGAACCATCTGTCTATCACCATTTATCACAGGTGAACATCAATCAATCAGATCAACAAACCATATAATGTAGTCAAACTCATACTGAAGCCTGTCGGGAGAAGAGCGAAAGCACCTTTTCTATTGAGAAAAGCCTTAAAGGTCCAGTGTGTAACATTTAAGAGGATCTACTGGTAGAAATATAATAAATATCATAATATCATACAATAAATAAGCCTTTTATATCTACAGTAGTGCTGGTCGCCTTCCATAGAGTTTGCAGCCACCATAGTTACTCCTTTGCATTTGGAAGGGGGGAGTGAAGCGAGGGAGTTGCAATCCATAACGACACGGCAGGATGCCACTAATGCTTACACACTGGTCTTTAAAGTGCCATTCTTTGCTCTTCCTTTAATTAAGGAATAATGCTAACAGCTCATGCCGTAGTAGCCAGTAGTTCCTCAGAAAATGCTGATTGGTCCGATAACACTGTACCGGACACAAACGATTGAAGCCTGGCAAAATGGATTCTCACGTGATATTGTGATTTTGTAATCTTATGAGTCGAACTCTTTTTTTTTTTGAGTAAAAAAAAGGGCCTGTCTTACATAACAGACCATCTATCCTTTCCAAGGCATGTGTTTTAACGTTGGCTATTGCACATTTGAGGTTTTGTTGAGAAGCTGCTGGCTCTCCTGAATGAATTATGCCTGACTGTTCTTTGCTGACTTCAGATCACATCTCAGATGCCGAACCATCCAGCCAACTCTTTCTACTATCCACGGATAGAGGAGCTTCCACCTATTGCCAGCATAAGGATCACTCGACAGAGCAGATCACCTGACCGTCAAACCCCAATGTCCAATCATATTCTGCCAAACTCTATCATTCCCCAGCGCTTCTCAGGTAAGACCACAGGATCAGTTGGGCCTAAACATTTTACCTGGAAGGATAAGCTCTACTTAAAACAGGTCTACACAACGTAGAGCTGCTACAAGCACATGCTAATAACAGCCCTTGTTTCTGCAGATATTTACTTCTAAAGTCTTTCTTTCTTTACTCACATGTACTATATTTTTCTTACATCTCTTTTCCCCTCCATGCAGCGACACCACTGGACTGTGAAGTGTCTCTCTGGTCATCTTGGGGTTTGTGTCTGGGCCCTTGCTCCAGAGGTGGTGTCCGCCACCGCACACGTTACATCCTCTTGCGGCCGGCCAATGCTGGCATCCCCTGCCCTGAGCTGGAGGAACAGGCTGAGTGTGTATCACACAGCTGTATGAGACTCCAGTAACACGCACAAGCACAGATACTGCCAGTATTCAACACTGGGACTCTCATGTTTTTACTGCTGGACTGAGAAATCTTGCTGCATCATTTACTTGATAACAAAATGGATTTTTGTCACAATCAAATTGTGAAATTTAAAGAGATAGTTTAGATTTTTTTTAACTGGGGTTGTATGAGGTACTTATCCATAGTCAGTGTATAGACGGCACTCAGCATGTCCCCAGTTTGGAGAAGCAGACAGGAGTACCAGCATGGAAGCTAAGGAAAGCACGGCTGTGGATGGGGTACACAATAAAACATATTTTAGCTGCCCAAAAAAGAAAAAGAAAAATCAATGTCAGGTTGAGTGTAGGCTTTATTTAGAATATTTTCACTGCTATACCTTACCGCCGTCAGACAGACCTTTCCGACTTTGAGGAGAGCAATATAATGGCTTCAGTTTCCAATTGGAAAGCAATGTCTAAAGGCAAAGTAAAGTGTTAAAAATATTCTACATATAACGTAGTTTAGTTGGCTAAAATATATTTTTCTGCTGACCCCATCTACAGCAGTGCATTGCTTAGCTCCCATGCTGCTTCTCCAAACTGGGGGGCGTGCTGACTGCCGTCTACTGTAGGTAATACTCCTCAAAAAACGGCAACTATCCCTTTAATACTTGCTGCATTACTTGTGCTGTCCGTTTAGAATTAGACTCCTCTGGGTGTGTTTTTATGACAATAAAGGGAAACTGAAGTCTGGGTGTAGCAGAGCATTGGACAGTTATTAATGTTTGAAACAACACTTTTTTATAAATTGTCGCAGATGCAGAATAGACAAACTGAGAGAAAGATTCACAACAATTGTGTCCCCCTCAAAGATCTATAAGAGCATTTAATCTGTACACACACCAGACTGACACATCTTCACACACACACTGTTACATGTATGCACACATGTGCACACAGAATACCGCACACAAAAGTCCTTGCACATACTGCATACCTTTACAGGCACGGAGGCATTACTTTATGTTGGTAACCTATTCATGCTTGGCACATGCAGCTCTTTCAAAATAACCCAACACCCCGATTTATAAATATCACCTTTCATAAGAAACACTGTCAGAAATGCTGACTTGAGGCTTAGAGCCAGTCTGAAGGAGCTGGCCTATTTTATAATAAGATGCAGGTTTTTATAGAAAGAAAAATAAATATTTGTATTATTATCTCTTGATATTTTAATGTTGATTTTGTATATAATGTATGATGTATCTTATCTTGTACAACTCCTGAATAAATATGGAGGTGTGTTTTTCAAATAGAAAATGTCTGTGTTACTTTGTTCCCCCTGCACGGCTTGTGTTATGAAAGTGTCATTATGTGTATATTTAAAACTCCTGTGAGACCAAAGAACATTCTTGATTTGCACGGTTCCCGTAATACATGATGAAGTCAACTTATTTCTGTATGCCAGAGCATAATTTGACCAGTATTGACACTTCTTTATTTGTATCTAAAGAACTCACAACCCAAAAGCAAAAATACACAGCCATAAATATCACAGTATGAGAAGGTTACGATGCCTTATATTCACCAAAATAGAAGTCACAGTTCTACATATTTATAGATTAAAATTACATCTATTCCACAATATTTCTCTGTCCTAAACATTGTTAAGTTCTTCATGGCCCCAGGCTATTTTCTTTGTAGTATCTGCATAAATAAATGTAAATATAAACTTTTTCACTGATAGAAATGATCAGTAGTCACTCGGGCAGAACATCCCTAGAAATACTGACTCCCCACTGCACTGCATCGAAGAGTTTGTGGCAGTGTAGCACCTCCTAGTGGTCACAAGCAGCAACAACAATACTACTACTACAACTACAACTAATGAAATTAATCAATTGAATTGCAAATAATAACAAAATAGAAATGAAATAGGAATTACATTAGCCAATATTACACTGAGACCCCTAAGGTGCTCAGTGATGTGAAAGCTTTCAGGCGTTATGCCAGAAGTTCAATATGTATAAACCCATTAGCCCCAGAAGGATCACAACTGATCACTTTCAATCAAATGAAAATACAAGAGAGGTAAAGAGTCATTTTATCTGGTATCTTTATTGTAGTTTGCATTTTTTTCTGTTTTCATGGTGTTTTGTATAATTGCGTGTGTATTTTTTTTGACATACATTATGCAATTATTAAAATGTTTTAAATCTTTTAACCACAAAATATAGGTCATCATACCACACACTTCCTAAAATAAAATGAAATAAAGCAGTAAGTATTGATTTTAAAATTGGAAAATGTCTTGGAATAAGGGAGTGGGTTACCAGGAAATCTTTCCTCAACAATAGCTACAGAAATTACATATAATTTATGAAATAGAAATTAGAGCTAGTTATTACAAATTACAATAAAAAATATTAAATATATTGTCTGTCACCAGCAGATATACCGGTATATGTTGAAGATAAATAGACTAAATAACAAGAAATTATGTTTTAAAATGTGTCGGCATTGCTTTCCAAACATTATTTTCCAAACAAGTACACTACTAGTTCGACTTTAAAAGGAATACTATTAAATTAAAGTAAATATTTATTTTTTTTAAGGCGAGGTTCTCCAGCTCAGCTTTAACACTGCGGAAGAAAAACGCTTTAAAAAAAAAACAACAACAACAAAAACAACAGAAGCGCCCTCCAGAGTGTAATGTCTTCAGTAACCCGGTTCCCCGGGCGGCCGGCAGGGGGCGCTGTTTCCCCGCTCTCTCGCTCTCTGTCTCCGCAGTGCTGCCTGTCTACGAGGAGTGCGTTTGATTGTTGCAGGACTCAATGGCGGACAGAGCAGGGTAGTCGCGCTAGCACCGAGGACAATAACATCTCCGCTGTGTGAAATCCCGGCGTGACTCGGTCCGCCGCTGCGTGCAACGGGTGAAGCGGTCTCTCTCCGGTGCACTCACATTTAAAAACCAAGAAGTGGCTGCAGCTTTTCTTTTCTCTCTGCTCGTCTTCCTCGCATTCTTGAGTTCACCCCCCTCCTCCTCTCCTCTCGTCTCATCCCAGCCGGAGAAGTTAACGTTTACACTGTTCATGGTGGCTCACTGAAGGCAGCTTTAGCTTGCGAGCAAAAAAAAAAACAAAAAACAACAACCATGGGGGAGTCTCTCGAATTGATTGGGAAGCGGCTGCTTTTGCTCCTCGACGACGGCAGGTCCGCGAATGGATCCGAGCCGGAGAAGGCTGCCTGGGCCCGGGACTGGCTCCGGGGGACGGTGCGGGCGGTGAGCGTCATCGGCCTGGCCGCCCCGGAGGTTGGCGGAGGAGAGGCGACAACAACATCCACCGCTGCGGGGCTCACGGTCAGTGTTTACATACAAGCTATGCCCGTACGGAGCGTCCGGCCCCCGGCTGGTCGGTGTATGAACCGGGTGCTCGGTGTTTCCTAACGTCCCTCGACTCGCTCCAACCGCCACTAACGGCACATTTGTTGGCAGTTAACGTTAGCTCGTTCACCCCGATACGAGTCGCAGCCACTCGGCCGAAGCTAAACTCGAGGCCGGGGATTTTTTCGGGCCTTTTGCTTTGTTCGCTTTTTTTTTTTTTTTTTTTAAATAAAATAATATTTTTTTAAAACGAATGACATTCAGCTCCCCCGGTGTTTATCACAACCTCGGAGCAAACAGCTGCAAGACACAGATGCGTCAGAGCTAATTAATCGATCACGATATTGTCACCAATAATAACAGCATTAGCTCCTCAGTTATAGTCTAGTTAAAGGCCTCACAAGTTCATACGAGGGTGAGCCGGCAGTCCTCCTACTTTACTGTGGGGTGCAGGTTGTTAATCAGTGTCCAGACTGTCGCAGTTAGCAAGTTTGTAATCTAATAAAACTCCTGAATGACTGACAGCAGTCCTCCCGACACAGACCTGTTTGGGTGAGATTAAAAAAAACATCGGGGTTGATGGTTGACCTACATTTAAAGGCCTTCACAGCTGAAACCCGGGATTTTAGAGTAGTAAAGGAATGAAAACTAGTTCTTTGAATAGACATTAATACTTGATTTACAGCACTGTAATTGTTTAGTTAGGAGAACTGATTTATTGGTGCCTTGTTAGATTTAATTCAGAAAGAAGACGTAGTTTAACACTGTAGAGTGAGTGAATGAATGAAAAGGGTCCACTTTGGCTGCTGTATAACTATATATTAAAAAGTTAAATTAATGATTTTTAAGGAAAATAATGAATGATAGTCCTTTGGGTTGGTTTCTGAGTTTATAAAAAACTATTAAAGTTATTTTATCCTGTAAAATATGAGTATGTAGTTGTATAACTTTTGTAAATCTAGACGGGTTCTCTCTTCTGAATGGTGTGCATTCATCAAAGTGGGTATTTATTAGAGAAAAGCGATCAATACTATAAACTTACAACCATACTGGCATGTGGACTGATCTCAACCAGTAAATGCCAGTTTTCCTGATGTCACATGAGCTCGACTAATAACCAGCACGGCAGAAAATACAGAGTTTGTTTACGTGCTGAAGATGTTTTGTAAGGAAGATTGATTCAGCAGCTAACTTCAGTAAGACGAGGTCACTGCAGGTTGTTGTCAGGACGCTTTTATCTTCATGATTCATGTTGGATGTTCGCTTCTCGCCGTCGTAAATAAATTACAAGTANNAAGATGTAAATACCAGACGCAGATACACGTACGGTTAAATAACAACAGAAAATACTCCACACCAAAGACGGTTTCTAAAAAGACGAACGAAACAAAACATTTTTTACAGTTTAAAGCTGTTTGACTGAAAGAAGATTCACAGTTATCTAAAGTTTTATTATCCCTCCTCATGAGTACAGAAACTGGCAGAAATTAGAAGGTTTTGATGGAAATAAGTGAAACTGGTTTTGTTGGTAAAGTTAAAATAAGTTACTGTTGCCACAGCAAACGTGGGGTCAGTCGGGGAACACATCTATCAGCTGGTTGTTTCCAAAACACAAAGGCTGCAAAAATACTCCAGTCGAGACCAAAAACTCTCTGCAGGTGATATCTGAGCGCACAGGTAAAGGGATGAAGCGCCAGCATGGAGCAAAGACGAACACAATAAAGACACACAGTCTGTTTATTCTCCAGGTAAAATAACACTGCTCCACTCGTTCTTTTAGCTCTTCACAAAAGCACGGTGAAAGAATATCAAGATTTTAGGGTTTTTGTCAGTATTACCTAACCCGAGCTCCACCGTATGATACTTCACGTCCTCCCAGTATGAACCCAGTAGTTTCTGTACTGATCTGTTTGTTGTACCAGCCCAGGTAATGTAGGCGTGACTATAAACATAATACTTTTTTCTATAAGACTTTATTCTGTAAGACTTTAATTCTATAGACTTTATTTCTATAGCAGACTTTATCCCTATAAGACTTTATTCTGTAAGGAACTTTATTTCTATAAGACTTATTCTATAAGCACTTTATTCTGTAAGACTTTATTCTGTAAAACTTTTATTCTGTAAGACTTTATTCTGTAAGACTTTACTTCCTGTAAGACTTTATTCTGTAAGACTTTACTTCTGTAAGACTTATTCTGTAAACTTAATTCTACAAGAACTTTATTCTGTTAAGACTTTATTCCTGTATGACTTTACTTCTGTAAACTTTATTCTATAGACTTTATTCTATAAGACTTTAATTCCTGTACGACTTTTATTCGTAAACTTTATTCTGTAAGACCTTTATTCTGTAAGACTTTTTATTCTATAAGAGTTATTCTATATGTACTTTATTCTATATAGACGTTATTCCTATAAGACTTTATTCTATAAGACTTTATTCTGTAAGACTTTAAGACTACACCGCCTGACTCTTTATACACCTGCTGTATTCAGTGTTGTGTTGTTGGTTTCTGTAGTTGTCTGTACATCTACAGAAAAGTGCAGCGACGTCTACTCGGAGTTCAGCAGCGTTTTGCTTTTAGTCTCTGCTCTCCCGCAGACACACAGTGATAGGCTGTGTGATTTGTTTGGACCGTTGCAGATATATTTAAGCGAATAAAAAGTTCTGAAATTGTATTTCAGCAAATGCGTTCGGCCTGTTTAGCTCTCCAAACGGACAGTTCACCTGCGTGCAACACAAGTTTGCTCAAACGCGATTAGACCAGAAGGTTTCCGAGGCTAAAATCTTGTCCCTTGCGTACAGATTCTGCATTCATATGTGAATGTTTATGGAGATTATTTAATAGAAATCTTTAAACTGACTTGTCGTTTAAAGCTAGCTGACATAAAAAAACAATAGTCTCTTAAAACTGGTACTTTGAGGAGTCGTTACTTGAGTCGAGTGACACAAATTTAATAAGAAAAATACATCTCTTCTTTTACCTACAGCGTTATCTGGCAAAGCAGATATTTTAGGTTTTGTTTGGTCGGATTTTACCCCCAAATAATGACCTTCTTACACTTTATACTCTTGATAATCCACTGACAGTTCTCATTGTATTCTACCAAATAAATAGTCCCTCTGAAAAAATATTCCTATGGAGAACTACAAATAAAAATCTACTGATCACCACTGTATTGAGGATGAGGCAGAAAACTAAAAGGTGGATAAAATCTGAACGAGCAGCACAGTTAGAGACCACTAGGTAAGTGATGTTGTTTAATGTGAACGAACCAACCTTTTTAAAAAGTGTAGACACCAAAGTTGATCACGTGCTACATCAGTGCACGCTGAGCTTTTCTTATTTTAATTTCTGGTACTTTTCTTCTTTAGCAAGCAGCTGCAATTAAATAACTTCCAACCATTCATTCCTCTCCCTCTCACACTCGCTAATTATTTGTTCTTTTTAATCTGAGCAGGTGGGTATTTTGACGTGTGGCGTTAATCAATAACGTTCCACGAAGTTCCCACGCCGAGTTTAAACAAGTCTCGATGTGGCTCGAAGCAGCGACTGCGGGAGTGAGACTGATAACAGTTCAGTCGGCTTCTCGCAGCTTGCTCTGTTAAATCAAACAGCTGTAGTCAAAAGCTTTGTCTGTGGGGGGGTTTCTTCTCTCGGGTTCACAAAATAATAAATCTCCACTATCCAACGTACAACTGGGACAATTAGCTGGTTTCGTGGTTTCTTTAGTGTCTGTTATAAAAGTCAGGAGCCCAGCCGTTATCAAGTTTACTTTGTGACTTTTTGTTGTTTATTTTGAAACTCTGACTACTTCAGTTTGATCGTCCATTGTGAATTAATGCTCCTTTATTATTTTGACACAAAGAAACAGGATCTATTATGTTGTCTGCTTATATCTGTTGTAGTTTCAGTTGCTCCAGTATTATTATATAAGTTCAGGAAGCGTTCAACAAAGCAGCGCACAGCGGGTTGTAATACTCACACGTATGATTTTCCAACAAACTTATCTGTGCGACAACTGTGAGGCAGCCTCGGTAAACTGTAGAAAATATGCCGTTCCTGTTACAAAGTAATCTAGCAGGAATGTGCACTCGCTGTTGCGTTGTGGGGTCAGCTCTTTTTACTGGAGCCTCCTGCATTCAAATTAATAATTGAGCTTTTTGGTCTGACTGCAGCGTAACGCTCAAGATACCTAATTACAATCCATTCATGACTAATTTGAACTTTCCAAGTGTGTGTGTGTGCGTATCATCGTCTTAATTCAAAGTAAGTAACACTCGACTACAATACAAGCTCAAAGTGGGTCAGTATTTAAACTGCACATTGTTCAGCTTCATGTACAGGATCATTTTCAAACATCCGATATGGACATACGTAATATTAGAAAATACTAATACTACTGTTTGATCACCTGAATGTTTCCTATTTTTAAGCAAAATGAATCATCAACTTTTTCCTTTACACCAAAGTAGCTGTATAAGTAATGACTGACGGGCTCTCCTCCTGTGATCGATTGCTATAGTAGTTGTAAAATGAGGTGTGTTGTCCAACTCTCGCTCTACCAGTTCAGGGCCACTCTGTAGTCTGACTTTAAATGTGCACAAGACAAAGTTGTGCATCAGCATATTGTTCCAGTGACACATGCTCACTCGCTGCAGGTGTAGACAGATTCTTTCATACTGTTAGAAATGGCACGGCATGAAAAGTTTACAGGCAGAATCCTGACATAGACGATTCAGACCAGAGTAGAATTAAACACATTATGGTTATGAAAGGCTTTTTGTTTTACACGTTAACTACATTTTGGGGAAAGTGTCTAATGAGCTCTTGGCCACTGAAGTGTTTGTCTTCACTGCCAGATAGTAGCTTCTGAGTCCACCTGCAGTGGCTCTGTCTTTTGTTGAAGAAAACATTTCTTAGAAAGTGGAGCACATATCTCTACCGTGAACTGCATTCTTTTATTCTTTTATCTGCTTTAGTTTCCTAAACTTCAGATTTTATGACAGCACTGAGTCTAAATAAGCGTAGCTGTCTTATATCATTAAATGTTCCTCACATTTATGATCTGTTTCTCCCTGTTTTCCGACTGCAGGTATTTGTGGAGTTTGAGAACGCTTCGCAGCGGTGTTCTTGGGTGCAGGTGTATGACGAGGGGGTGAAAGCCGTGTTGGTGGAGGACTCCATTGTTTGGGCCAATCGGAGCGATGGTACGGGGACGACTGGAGCGCCAGCATCACCCACTGCCTGGCCTGCCCTGGTGAGTGCTCAACTGGACTGGGAGCAAGCAGAACCGTCTGCAGCCTTGAAACAATCTTGTCTACTTGTTGAATTGAGAAGTCCGAGGTTCAACCATGTTCAAGGTTCAACCATGGCTGTATTCAATAACTTAAGCTTTCAGTTTGAATATTCCCTCTCAAGTTTGGCCCTAGATCACTGCTGACTAATTTTACGTAACACTTTGCAAGTTAAAAGTTGATGTGAGTAATGCAGTGCTCTTTTGTCAGTAAGGATATGAAGCTGGTGCTTCTGGGGCAAACAGAAGGACACTTTACATCCCCTATGACAAATGCAGAATCACTCAGTTTAGATTTTAGCATCCATTCGATATGTAATCTGAACACGTAACCGCGAATAACTGATGGGACTTTCATCTAATGTTTGAAGACATAATTACTGGGCTTTTTTCTTCACTCTGGTGTCAAACCCACTGCTCAGCTTTTGTGAGAAGTCAGTTAACGTGTCCATGTGGGTATTTTGAGCGGAAACACCAGAATCAGATATGATTCACTTTAAAATGACTAGCCTACATAGCTTAAATTACATCTAGAAAATCCAGTTATTACAATTTTCCAGTTGTCCCTACTTGATAGTTAAAGTTCTTGTAAGATCAAAGAATTACATGGTGTTTTCTTTTCCCTCAGGTCTTCCGCTCCCTGGTGGACAGAGTGGGTTTAGGACCACTGGTTCCTGTGGAGTATTTTGGAAACAAGAATTTTGAGTTCCTGCCTGATAGCAAAACTGTCCAGAGGTTTGAGGTGTGTACATTTGTTTTGCAGGGTTTGTTAATCCTTTAGCCCTGTTAAGTGCTAAAATGATTCATTTATAAACCAGTTGGTTCATAAGAGGCTAATTATTTATGATACTTATTGAAGACTACCAAAAGTTTTTTCTGGAACAGCTTCTCAGATGTGATTTCCTTTCTATTTTCTGTTTATATTATTGTAACTTGAATACCACTTTTTGACTATTTATCAGACAGAATAAACAATTTCTTAGATCATTACTTTTGACAGATTTAAACGAAATAATAAACTAATGAAAGTTATAAACAGCACAATGTTCTTTCGTGTGATATTCCAGTATGAAGGTTCACACGTTTTTGTTCCACGTTATTACTGCTCCAATGCCCAGTGCCACTGTTTCAGGACAGTTTGGTTTGTGTCCTTGTGCAGGTTGATAAAGACTTAAGACACCCGTTGCTATTGGAGCAGCACACCCTGCAGACTGCCATCTCCAGCTGGCACAATGACTTTGAACTCCAAGAGATCTTCAGGAAGGGTAATACTGAAGCCTCAACAGTTTTTATGTTGTTTTTCTTTTACCTCTCTGTGTGTTCTCTGGCGTGTTTTGATTTTGGGCACCTGCTCAAATCAGCGACCTTGGAATTACTGTTGATTTGAAATGCTTAAACTGTTTTTTATTATCTGGATGTACTTTGAGTATAATAGTTCTCTAAGGATGCAGTTGCGACTCACTAGATGGAGAGACTTCCTTACCTTTGTAATTTTCCAGTCTGTGTTCTTGTTGATGTGAGGTGTGCATGAACTGAAGAAGAGAGAGTGATTTTATTTAGGACTGTTGTGTCCACCAGCTGCTCGAGCTGCACATCTTCTGCAGTGTTATTTGCATCATCTGTTTTTTTGGAATCATGTTACATCTATTGAATAATATATAAATGCAGTATTTAATCTCACACGGATACATATGAGGGTAGTGTAGTCAACAATCTCGTGCTTAAGATAAAAATACAGACAGAACTTTAAGATAGAGAAGATCTTTTGTAGTGCAGTAATTTGAAACTAAAAGTTATAGACAGCAAATGTAGTATTACAACAAAATTAAATCTTAATCATTCAAACAATGTCAAGCAGTATAGTTTAAATAAACACACATTCCAGTTAACATTGCTCACCTGTGCATAACTGAAACATGTAGTGACAAGGCGGATGCAGGAGGTATCAATGTGGATATTGTAGCACAGTGCAGACGTTATACTGCTTAGCGTGTGTGGTGATGCTTTCACCCTTCAAACCAAACTAATTTGCCCCAAGTTAAATAAGATCCAGTGTATCAGCCATTCTGAATCCCGTGTTTTCATTAAATATGCAAGAATGTAACTCCAACTTTTCTCCCTTTTTCTGCCCTCAGGTTCATACACTATTCAAGGACGCAGAGTTCTTGTGTACCAGCCAGAGTTTGAGGAGTGCTGGGCCTCAGGATTGGTCTCACAGCATGACCCTATTTCTCACATTATGGAGATTACCTTAGATAAGGTAAATATCACTTTAACACTATTTAGGGACCAAAATAGCAAAACAATTAGAAACTCTTTGTGACATAAATTATGGAAAATTGGAGAAACAAACAAACGTCATTTTCTGACTGGACCTATCAGTGTAAGGGAGGACATTTGTATTAGGAAAATGTTAACATTGTACTGAAGTGGTGTGAAAAATGAAATATAATGTATTGTGAAAATGTACAATGGGGCCATACCTTTTTTATTTTCCTAATTCAAGTTTAATGTTCCCTGAAATAATGGACACACGTTTACTTATTTACAGTATTGAGAATAAGCTATTTCAAAGTAATAACAAGCAGACAATAACAATTAGACGTAAACAGGAAGCCCAAGTGTAAACAGATAAAATGAACTTAGCAAATGTAAAACATTGCGAAAGTCACAAGGTTTTTGAAACAAGATGGGCTACATAGCTGTCCGGTGTAAAGTGAATTAATGGTGATAATGGATGACATTAATGTGCATAGGTACCTGTATATGGGTGGAAGTGTATTCATGTTATTACATGTTAAGATATGCATCCTCACAGATATGTTTATGCATGTACAGGTATGTATTTACAGCTACACACAGTATATCTCCCCTGTCTTAAGATTAGATTTTCTCACTGTGATGATTGGTGAGTTCTCATTGTCACACCATGACTGAAATCGTACTGTAGTGATGATTAATCTGAGTCAAGTGATAAGTATCAGGCTAGCCTTAAAAATCTGTTAAAACAAACTTAAAATAATGCTTATATTTTACCTAAATGTATTCTAGTCATGGTGTCAAAGCACTTAAAAACCTCACTTTTTTGCTGTAGGGAGAAGAAAATCAGATGGTAGATCCTCGTGTGATACATGTCATGCTGGCAGAGGAGGAGGTAAGCTTGTCGTATTATAAATCTAACTGTACTCTGTAATTGGTTGTACTGTGCTGTACATTTTGTTAAAGGAGTATTTTCAGCTCAAGATTGGCATTTAAAAAAAGGTATTAATTGAATTCCTTCCAAACATTTCCCCCCTTTTTAGCTTGGTAAGAATGGGCGACGAAGAAAGGACAGTGAAACAATGAAGGGTGACAGCGGACGCAGACGCAGGACTGCCTCCGAAGGTGAGGATGACTTGAACTTGAAACGTTTTAAAGGCGCAGGAGATGCGGGAGCTGATGGCCAAAACTGTGGCGACTCCAACAAAACTCCAGCAGAAGGGAAGGGGATCTGGGGTGGAGACTCGAGCGAAAGAGTCAGCAGCACAACCAAAAACGGAAGCTCTTCAGAAGGAACCTTTCCTCAGGGCAGAGTGTCGTCCCCCAGCACCAATTCCTCACTCCAGATGGACCAATCAAACGCTACCCCTCCTCGCTATCCTGCCCACGTCAAAGAAAATGGTCGTTCACTCTCCACAGGGGCGGCGGACTCTACAACTGCTGTTGCCCACACCCCCACTCCTCCTCCCCTCAAACCAGCCCCCTCTCCCTTCTCCACCACATCTTTCCCCTCACTAGGCCAGATGCCGAGCCTGGTCCCTGGAGCTCCAGCCCCCAAGGCTTCTCCATCCCCCCAACCAGATCGAGAGGAGGCCTCCCAGTCAGCTTATTCCAAAACAGCTGCTCTTGTTTCCCCGGGGCCTGTCACCATTTCTTGGTCGCACGACAGTGGCCCTAGTGTGGCACTTTCTGCTTCTGTGGGTTTTAGTCCTAAAGCCCCCACCTGGGGAAGCCAGACTGAGGTAAGACAATCAATATGATCAGTGCCATCAATAACATTATACAAGTCACCACCGTAATTTTACTGTACCGCATTGTTTTGTTTTTCAGGGCTCTAAAACGGCCTCTGGCTTTCGTTTGCCCCAGGCCGTGCCCACTGCCTCGGTATTTGGAGATGTTACCTCTCAGACCAATGGAGCTCCTGCCACTACTACCACAACCTCCCAGGACACTCCCAGACCCTTTGGCTTCGGCTTTGGTGGCGCAAAGAATGAGACTCAATCCCAGCAAGACCAAAATTTGTTTTTCCAGTGCATGACCCAGAATTCTGGCTCCAGCCCAAGCCTAACTACTGGTCAGACCCAGTCCAAGGACACAAATTACTTCACCGCAGTGTCTGAGAGTCTGAGCAAAGAGCCCCCAAGCCTTTTCAAGCCCGCAGCCTCCACTGAGGGACTGAAAAAGCCTGAGCAGCCTAAAGTGCCTGAGACCCATCCGACGGGAAATGGTGTGCTCAACAAATCGTCTTCGGCCTTCCAGGGCATGGGTGGCTCTGCAGGAGGAAGAGGCTCTGGTCTAAGTATTGGTGGTCTGGCTGCAGCCTCTGGGACTCAAAGTACTTCTAAGAAGAGCAGTAATAATGGAACTTCTGTGGGGGGCTTAGGGCTGCAAGCTGGTTTTAATACTTCAGATAGCCACCAGAACCTTTTTCTGCAGGCCTCCAAAGAGCCTGCAAATCCTTTTCTGGCATATGGGGACAAAACCTCCCACACCTCCTTTGCTGGTCTCTCTGGGACTGAGCCACAGACCCTTGGTCCTGCCTTGGACAGCAAACCAAACCTGTTCACTATGGCAGAGCCTCCTAAGGGGATCATGTCTTCCCCTTTCCCAGCACTCTCGACAGCTGCTTCACCCAGCTCTTCCTCCTCTCCAGCACCAGCCTCATCACAGAGGTCACAAAATGAAGGCACTGTGATAAAAGAGGAGCAAGATGTTGGGGAGATGCCTTCATCCACCTCAAGCTGCCCCATGTTTGTAAGCACTGGCCCTAGTGGAATGGAGGACGTCCCTGTGTCCTTTGACCAGAGCCAGTCTCAGAAGTTTAGCCTGGAGGAAAGGGGCCAGTCGTCTAAACGTGACTCTGACTCCAGCAGCAACAGCGACCTGTCAGACCTGAGTGAGAATGAGGAGGGACCAGAGAAAGGCCAAGTCCCAGGAGGACCACACCCTACCAAGGATGGAGCCATGTTGCAGAAATCTAAAGTCCAAGGGGCCGCTAAGAGCCGTCCACGTAACAAGCCTTTCAAAGGTAAGTCTTGTCCACTCTCGAGAAAACCCAGAATTGTTTGTGATGACAAACTAAGCAATGAAATGAACACTGTTGTCTCCTTCAGTGGGCCAGTCTGTACTAAAAGACCAGAGCAAAGTGCGCCGTCTGAAGCAGTCTGGTGAGTCGTTTCTCCAGGATGGCTCCTGCATCAATGTGGCCCCTCACTTGCACAAGTGCCGCGAGTGCCGGCTGGAGCGTTATCGTAAATATCGAACTACAGACCAGGACAGCGATGATGATGACGATCCAAATGTGGCCTGTCGTTTCTTCCACTTCAGAAGGTACACGTTTCTGTGCTGGTGCTGCTCAGTGTCTTGCTTTGTGTATTTGAGCATCGCAGAAGAAAATGATCAGAATAAAGGAAGCAATCATCACAAATAATGATGTGTTCCTGAGTTAACCCTTTTTTTTTCTGCTTGTGACTAGGTTGGCGTTCACTCGTAAAGGTGTACTGCGTGTGGAAGGCTTCCTAAGTCCTCAGCAGAGCGATTCCATGGCCATGGGTCTGTGGCTACCTGCACCAGCTGTCCAAGAGGGCCTTGACCTCGATACATCCAAGTACATCCTAGCCAATGTGGGAGACCAGTTCTGTCAGTTGGTCATGTCTGAGAAGGAGGCCATGATGATGGTGGAGCCTCACCGTAAGTATAAAGACACTAATCTCGCCTAAGACCCATGTATTCTTCACATTTGTCTTATGCAGCTGTCTTACTCACACTCAACCTGTCAGAAGTGTCTATTGTGTATATAATCCTGTTTTTTGTTGGCCCGTCCTTCAGAGAAAGTGGCGTGGAAACGTGCTGTACGAGGCGTCAGAGAAATGTGTGATGTGTGTGAGACCACCTTGTTCAACATCCACTGGGTGTGTCGCAAGTGTGGTTTTGGAGTGTGTCTGGACTGTTATCGGCTCCGCAGGAACAGGCCACGGGAGGGTGAGTCGTTAGGATGACATTTAGCAATCTTTAACCTGTCTTAACCTAACTCCTATTATTATTTTTATTATTATTATTATTATTATTACAATAATAGAAACGTGTCAACATAGTTAATACTTTCTGAGATCGTTTGAGGTTAAGTTCACAGATCTGTCCTTTCCCACAGATGTAGACGAAGGTCCGGAGGATGAGGTTTTTGCTTGGTTGAAGTGTGCCAAAGGCCAACCTCATGAGCCACAGAACCTCATGCCCACACAGATTATACCTGGGACAGGTAAAGTGTACATTATGATTGGATCATCAATCTATCAACCTCATGTGCATCAAGTATTAATTATGATCTATAATTGATACAGTAAGAGTTGTAATGATTGCTTCTGTCCTTTAGCTCTTTACAACATAGGTGACATGGTACACTCAGCGAGAGGAAAGTGGGGTATTAAGGCCAATTGTCCCTGTGCCAGTCGACACACTAAGCCTCTAGTGCGCCCTAGTGCCCCTAATGGCATTTCACAGGTACACATCATCTATTTCTTAGTTCTGCATGTCTGCATTTTGAAAAGTGTTTGACCCGAAGGCTCCAATGTGTGGTTGTTCTTATCTCAGCAGTCTACAACGAGCAGTGGTGGAGTACTCGTAGCTGCAACTTCTGGTATTGGCTCCACTCCAAAGTCAGAGGGAGAAACGTCAGTAATCAAAACAGAAACTACACAAACAGCAGCACCATCAGACAGTGGGGGAGGTGAAACTGTGGGCAGTACCAGTAACTCCACCAGTGGTACATCCTCCCCCTGTAACCTCACCCAGTCCTCTGCCAAGGAGTCGCGCTCATCAGGAGAGGGCAACAGCTCTGCTCTACACTGGTTGGCAGACTTGGCCACACAGAAAGCCAAGGATGACACCAAGGGTAAGTAGGAAAGAACAAATGCTGAGTCAGTGGAATCTGAGAGCATAAAAAAGTCAAAATCAGTAGTAAAGTAGAAGTTGTATCACCGTCTTCTTGCCATCTTTCTTCCAGAATCCGGTTCACTTCGCTCCATGATGAGTAGAGACAGCCGGCCTCCCTTTGGCCTGGACTCACTCACTGCCCTGTCGAAGCCTTCAGCTTCCAGCCCTAAGCTATTCAACAGCCTGTTACTGGGCTCCAGTATGGCCCAGTCCAAACCTGAGGGGTCCAGTCTCCGGGACCTGCTCAACTCCGGACCAGGCAAACTCCCCCAGGGTCCTGGAGAAAGTGGGGTACCATTCCCCTCTGTCTTTACCTCAGCAGGCGTACGTATATAGCTTGTATTAGTCCTTGTACAAATGATTAAGAGGTCTAAGTGTACACATCTATACTAAAAAGCAACAAGATCGGTTTCTGAACTTAACTAGTCTTATGTCGTGGAAGTCAGTGTGTGCAGAAAATATACTTAATGTAAAACCAAGATCAAAAAATAGATCATCAGAAAAACACATAAAAAACCAGAACCAATTCAAACTACACTTTATACTGTTTATATGCTGAACATATAATTACATTTATAGATCTAACAGGAAATAGTGATCAGGAAAGTGCTGTAATCTTTTAGAGTTAAGGTACGGCCACATATGCACAAATACAGGCGAGTGTTTGTGCGTGTGTGGTCGTGCCCTTAAAGTCTCGTATTTGCCTCAGTTGTTCATTTTCAAATGATGCATGAAATAGTGTGTTTGGGTCAGTCGGTGAGTAGTGAGTCAACTAAAACATTTTCAGTAAGGATAACTGGAATTGTAAGAATACTAAGATTAGAAATAACTGAATTGATTACAAATCATGTTTACCTGTGTAGTAATGAACCACAACATTCACTTTGAAATTCCGAAGGCTAAAAAATATTAATTCCAAAAAATTTTACTTAAAATGATACCAATGGAAATACAGGTACTTAGCCGGGTAATCAAAATTTCTCTTTTATCAGAGTGACAAACTGAAGAGCAGCCTCCCGAACTTCCTGGATCACATCATTGCCTCAGTTGTGGAGACCAAGAAGGCAGAAGGCCGTCGTACCGGTGCCTCCGAGGGTGGCGAGCTTGGTGTGTTGGGGGGCCGTAAAGACGGAGTAATGGGCCTTAGTGTTTTGGAACCACATACCTCACACTCCTGGCTCTGTGACGGACGACTCCTCTGCCTACAGGATCCCAGCAACAGCAACAACTGGAAGATCTTCAGAGAGTGCTGGAAGCAGGGACAAGTAAGAACCACAATATGTACAACTCTTGAGGCAGACATGATGGAGCAGAGCAAGAAACCGTTTGAAACTTCACAGCACTGACTTCTGTTGCTCTGTCATCTGTCTAATCTCTTCTCCTTTGTGTCCAGCCTGTGTTGGTGTCAGGAATTGATAAACGTCTGAAAGGTGATTTGTGGCGGCCCGATGCCTTCAGTAAGGAGTTTGGAGACCAGGATGTAGACCTGGTCAACTGTAGAAACTGTGCTATCATCTCTGATGTGAAGGTGCGCGACTTCTGGGACGGCTTCCAGGTCATCTCCAGTGAGTGCCCAAACTATTTCTAAATTACTCCCATTTGTTGTTTTAATTACACGCTGCTGTATTTCACTGCCATTTCTCTCTGATGTCAAAAATGGCTAATGTGTTTTTCTGTGAATGCAGAGCGACTGCAAGATGTTGATGGCAATCCCATGGTTTTAAAATTGAAGGATTGGCCTCCAGGTGAAGACTTCAGAGACATGATGCCCACACGGTGAGGAAAGCAGCAATCTGTTGTTTCTCTTCTGTCTCAATGAGTTTGCTCACCAACCGAGCTACCTACTACAAACATTTCTATTTTGCGGTGGAGCAACACTGACACACCGTCCTTGTCTTATCTACAACTCTCTCTTCTAACTCTATCGTTTCATTTGCACTTGGCGTAGGGTGACGGACTCGAATGCCAATCAGCTTGTTGCGCTTACCTCAGCACATGTTTCTAACAGAATACACTGACTGCTCAAAATCAAGGATGTCCTGTTGTCCCGAGGACAATAAAAACAGAACCTGGGACACAAAAATACAGTGTCTGGGACAGTAGAGAAATGTATCATTAGAAATGAAATTATTACATTTACGCATTATGGATTATCCCTTTAATTATTATGTAAGGTAGCACAGGCATAAGCTCTACGCTCGTCTCACGCATTGTTACTCAATATCAATCATAGAGAGAGCCAGTGTAGCCAACTTGGTGGCTTTCTTGCTAGATTTAGCAACTTATTCAGACCATCAGGGAAATGGCGAGAAATATATTCAAATACCGTATATTAGTTATTCATTCCTGCATACTGCTCAGAGTAAAGACTTGTGAGGCATGTTTGACCTTCTCTCGCACTCCTTCTCTCCGGATCTATGGATTAGTGTGTTCCTGTAGTTTATGTAAATAGATTGTTTGAGTTTGTAAATATTTAAGTTGTTTATTTGAGCTTCCCTCTCTTTTTTTTTTTTTACTTCAAATGTCTCAGTTGTGAGATTGTGATTATTTGGCTAAATAATAATAACTTGATAACGGGACACTCGAGCCCTGCGTACAGCTGAGATCTTTCAGGTGGAACTCCCTCTTCTGAACTTTAGTTGTACGTCACGCGCATCAGTCTGTGTGCGGCTGCGTGTACAGTACCATGACTGTTCGTTCTGTTGTACTTAAACTTTCTCTTCAGGCTTTGATGGCTTATACCCCATTTTTCCTCATTACCATTGTGTGTACACTTAAACAATAAACTTGTTAAAATAGAGAATAACCAAATTCCACACATGCCATGAATGTAAAATAATTTTTGTGAACCAGTTATATCTCTTGTGAGCTAAAAGTTTTTTTTGGACCAATTAATTATTTGTAAGGTACAGAGCACATTTGTGACCTGCTCCATCATTTTGA